TTGAGTTCTTCTACAACTAAATAATACTACCATTTTTGTAGCTTCTAGGTCAGAAAAACATAGTAAGTTACATTAATGCTGCCCTGTATAGCTAGAAATATCAAGTCCTTGAGGTGCTTCTATTAGCATTTCCTGAATAATAATTTCATAAAGTACTTTTAAAATCATTTGAACAAAAATTACCCTTAAAATAACCAGACATGGCAATATGCTCTTTTGATGAATCATATCCTTTGTTGACTCTTCTTATGGACAGTTGAATAGTTTATCAATTAAAACAGTAGACAAACAGTTTCCTCACTGATGAGATGAAGAGGCACTACATTAAACTGCAGAATGATGACTAAAGAAGGTGTGGGGGTTAGGTAGGGGCCACCTACTCCTCAGGGACTCTTTGGAGCTACCTGAATAAGATTTTAAAACTGTTGCTTATTTATAAAATTTACACATATTCAGCAGATAGATATTTATTTGAATCTTATTTCCATGAATCAATCTGTTAAAGATCAGGAATGGTATGTTCCAGTCTCTACCACAAATGCATTTCTGTGACCTTTCTGAACTACCCAAAGTTTTTTTGTTATATTGAATGCTCTGGGATTTATATTTACTTTATTTTCAATATAGGCAACATCATTCAGTAATATAAAATCACTGTCTTTATTCCATTTAAAAGCTTTTCTCTTTAAATTCTCTTTCAATGAAACTAATGTTGTTATCATTAGCATTTGGGGCTGTCTGACATATCTCTAACTGTTCTTTTACCTTTAAAAATAAACTGGTCTTTATAGGTTATGCATGTACTAATATGTAACAACAAATCCCAGCATTATGTACAGCTATAATGCACCAATAAAAATATGGAAAACAATCTAGTCCAATGATTTACATTCCTATATACTATATCTATATGGACATAGGTGTATATATTTATATAAAACTGTGCATATATATATATATATATATCTATATATATATATATATAAACTACATACATCTTCCTAGTCTTTCTACTTTCTTTTTTTGGGGGGTGGGGGTACCAGCTATTGAACTCAGGGGCACTTGACCACTGAGTCACATACCCTTCCCTATTTTATATTTTATTTAGAGACAGGGTTTCACTGAGTTGCTTAGCACCTTGCTTTTGCAGAGGCTGGTTTTGAACTCAAGATCCTCCTGCCTCAGCCTTCCAAGCCACTGAGATTACAGGCATGTACCATTGTGCCTGGCTCTTTCTTCTTTCTCTTGTTTCTTTCCAGTGCTAGGAATTGAACCAAGGGTCTTACACATGCTGAGCAAGTACTCTAGCATTGAGCTACAACCTCAACCCTATCTTAATTTCTTAATGCCACATACATTTAAATTATTAACATTTTTTGAGTTTCAGGTTTTAAATCAATCTGTTAATTTTTTGATATTTGTAAATGTTTATCTAAACTGGTATTAGTGTTTTTTCTTTTGTGTCATTCTTATTTAAGGTATATTTGGACTCTTTGATTTTAAAAGCATTTTATTTTCCTTTCCTTCATAATTAATAAATATCATCACAGGTAGAAATAGGGACTAAAAGAAAGAAGACACTTGAAAAATAGAAGAAGATAGAGAACTTTCATAGTCATTTACTCCTCATGGCTCTTTGATATGTTTTCTAGTTCATTTACCTGTTAAAATTTCATAAGCTTGGGACAGAAAATCCCTAAGGATCACAACCTCATAATACTTGAGGCACAGTTGAACAATATGCCCAATTTCTCTTATCATTCAAGCTTGGTGAGACGCTTGTTTTAAAAATTGATAGCCATTTCATTTCAGGTTAAGCAAATTCAAATAGCCATCAAGAATACTACTCAATTTTAAGGTTATTAAAAAAACAAAAACTTTTAGGTCTGGTACAGTGACACATGACTGTAATCCCACTTACTTGGGATGCTGAGGCAGGAGGACTGCAAAYTTGAAGCCAGTCTCAGCAACTTAGAGACCCTGTCTTAAAATTAAAAATAAAATAAGAAGGAGTTGGGGATATAACTCAGTGATAGAGCTCCCCTGGGTTTATTTTAAAAAAAAAAGCTACCTTAAATTTTATTTCCCACCTTTCTGCTTTCTTTCCAGATTAAAGTATGAAGCCACTGACTTAACATAAATAGACACAGGATTTTCTGCACCCTAACCTGTTTAAAGACCACTTTCTCCAGTAAGTTATAATTCTTGCTCTCTAATACTCATAATCAATTTGAAGACAGGAGTGAAGACACAGTTTACTTAAGTTTTTAAAGTGTCCACTGTTTACATGCCCTCTGTGAACTCAGTAGCTAGATAATTTACTTTGCCAATGGTAAACCTGAGTTTCTCAGGTTCCTCTGTAAGCAGAGTAGCAGCATCTTAGGTAGAAATGTTCTGTGAATGACAATACTTCTCCCTTTTTTCTAAACTTCTGGTTTACACCAAGTCCATTTACTTGATTAGAATTTAAAAAATGAAATAACAAAACATTATCAACGTCAGAGCACACCTGCCTCATTTAGGAGGGGAATAGGTATAATGAGGGGTAGCTGGAAGAGAGCTGTATTTTTATTTATTATTATGATTACCGTTTTCCAGCTTATACTTCTCAGTCCTTCAGACACTAAAAATGACTCTGAACATTTTTAAATTTTATTTGATAATCTGAGAGGCTCTTCAAAGATCATATTTATGTATCTCTACTAAAGATACACCCAAGTGTTAAGAAATTTGGTGCTGGAGGCCAATAAACAAGGTAGGAATTAATTAGCTATCTTGATGATGAACTAGCAAGGTAAAAGGATGTAAAAGTAAGACATTTTTCATATTTCATGTCACATAGTACTTAATAGTAATGAAGTACATTAGGAGTGAAACACAAAGGCAGGCACACACATATAGCTGAAAACCATAGCAAATAAGCCATTCTGTTTTCTGTATGCTTGATCAATGTTTTGGGACAAAACTGGAATCCCAAGTGAGATTTTATGTCTATAAAAGTTTCCCTCTCTTAAATTAATTTAAATAAACTAATGAAACATCATCATCAACAACAAAAAGAACACAAAGTAGGCATGGTTGGTAGGTCTATACCATTTTCATATATTCTAGAGGAGAAGACAGTAAATAGTTTTTGTGACTCCAAGTCATACTTAGAGGAAAATCAAATCACTCAATGATGCCAAGAATGATTATTCTACTGCACTTTAAAAGCAAGAGATTGCAGTCTGTGAGTCCAAAGTGGTTTCAGATGGACTGCCACAGTTGTGGTTTACTCTTGAAACTGTAACTTGTCAAATTAGAAGCAGGCAAGGCCTTTGCTCTTAACAGTTCCACTTTCTACTGTCTATAGTTATGTCTACAAGTCCATCACATTTTATTCAGATGCACTCTGTTATATGGATGAGTAGAATATCAAAACTATTTTTTATTGTCTGAGTTACAGAAGATTTTAGTTATAAAAACTTTAGCTGTTAATCTCTTGCTTATTATATAGATGAAGCAGAATTTCACTAATTTTATTAACTATTGATGTTTTATTATCCAATATAACATAGGGAAGTGGTATACAGACTATGTAAGTGCTCAAGATTTTTCTACTCTTAAATTCCAAATATTTTATTGATTTTAACTAGTACCTTACTGACTTGATTTTCCAAGCATGAGCTCAGAGTTACAAAATGCTCCATTTCTTCTCTTCCTCATTGATTGTGGAATCCCCTTCTGGGCAACAAGCTTGATTAGCTAAAATTTTCACATCAAACTTGAAAAGCTACTTGTTCAATTTTAATTGTTTTATGTAGACCCTTTCCTTAATGACTTTTAATGCCTATTTTTATAATATAAAATATTTTAAAAATAAAGCATAAACAAGATTTTCTCTCTACATAATACATCATAAACAAAACCATGCCACTAAACAATCATATCCTGTTTAGGCCATAATGACACCAGAAATGCATGTTTATCATCTGTTTTGGACAACTTAGCATGTTTTTGGCCCAAGGCAAAGTTGAACTAAAACCATTTGCAGTTGCCCCAAACCAAGATAACCACACATTTCTAAAGTAATTGATACCTAAAAGAACATTGCCTTTAGATCACAGTTCATGATCTAAGCATACTAATTCCTTAAAGAAGGTTGTTACAGTATATAAAGCATTATGTCTATTGGACTTCCTCCAGAATTTAACATGAAATAATTTATTTTTAGCATGTGTAGATAAAGTGTATGATAATGTAGACATTTAGCAACATCTTTTGGAATTCTGGAATTACCTCTCTTGCCCAATTTAAAGAAAAGAGAAAAACTRTGATGTCTTACATGTAAAAGTATTATAAAAAGAATATAAGACCACTGCCTTGCAGTTTGGAAGGCATGCAGACAAAATTATTACTCTTAATTTTATTGAAGTATATTTAAAGAATCAATTTTATTTATAGATAGCTAAAATAAGTAGAAGACATATGTTTTCTTCTTCATTGTTACAATGAATCTATGGAATCCAAATATATGTCACTAACTTTGTGTTACAGTGATATAAAACATGCAATTGCTTTAGATACTATCTTAACTGATGAGGCTGACCACAGCCTATTAGAAACAGTCTAAAAAACATCTCTGCACTCTACAGGCCAAAACAAAAGCAGTAAAAATTACCTCTGCCCCAAATACAACTAGATAATTTATAACAAAAAATAAGTAAATGATTAATTATGTACAAGTTTTAATGAAATAAAACCCAGCAAATGTCAGATCCAGATTAGGGAAACCTACTCACTTTTAAAGAAACAGAGAAACACTAAGCTATTTCCTGAACTCAACTGTAAAGGCAATGTCTGAATCTTTCTCCAGACCTTACTCCTCTGTATACTGCTGCCATGAGACATAAAACAATTGATTTGGGGATTTCAGAAAACAGTTGAAGAATACAAGAACCAAATATACAAGCACCATGATGATTGTTACGTTACTGTAAAAAGAGAAGCATGTACTATACCTCCATTCTTTCTTGTTTAACTTCATCAATTTCATCATCTTCAAACATTGCCAGAAGTTCTCCTGTCTGGTCAATAGAGTTGAGAAAGTCCTGAGCAATTTTTTGTCTTTTGTTTGTGTTACTGTTGCCACTTAGTTTATCTTCATGAATATCACGGAAGAAAGAAAAATAGTCTCAGTAAGTTTGTCTGCATCAACCATTGCATTTATTAAATACATAAAATTCAGAATTGGAATTCTCTCACAACTATCTTTGAAAGGAGAATTCTTGTAACCAAAATAAATGTGGAAGTCATATAGAATTAAGTCATCTATACATCACAATCAGATCAAAAGAATAAAATCAAGTTATTAATTACTATAGTAAGTGTGAAAGGGTTATATGATTACTTTTTAAAGATTCGAAAAAAATACTGTTATATACTATTTATAGTTGATACTTGTGAAACAAATAATAGAAAAAAGTGAAAAGTAAGAATATATGAGATAAACACAGTCACTAGTAACATTTTGTTATAAAATGTAGTCATGACCAACAGCACTAAATGAGATAGAGTAGGATAGCATCTGATAATAAAAGGAGAATTAACATAAACTTTTATGCAACAAAGATAACAGCAAAATGAATAATAAATGAATAATAAAAGGAAAACTTATTAAAAAGCATAATTATGAGATATTTGAACAATTTGACAAGGTAAAGTTCATGGATCAAATGTGTTTTAATAGCTATAAAGATATGAGAATTCACTTTATTATCTTAGGTCCATAAATCATTTTTCTTCACTTTTATCATTTTTGTTAAAAACTTTATTTTCAAAAGTTTTCATAAACATCCATAAGTGAAATGTTGCCTCTTCAAGTGTTTTTTCTTTAATTCAATGTCCCCACTTTCTTCCCTTTTATCAGCCAATCTCAAATTCCAGATAGATATGACCCACATTAACCATCTAGCAGTCAGTATCACTGGTACAGTACCATTCATATACATTTTTATATTTTAGAAAACTTTTGCCACATCTTATAATTCTTATATATCTTAGATTCTTTTACTTTGTTTCACTCATCTTTATGTTTAGTCTTCAGTGACACCACAGGCTTTATATACATTTTTAAAAATATCTTTTAATGTGTATAAATTTTTAGTTGTAGATGGACACAATACATTTATTTTATTTATTTATTTTTATGTGGTGCTGAGGATGGAACCCAGTGCCTCACATCTGCTAGGCAAACACTCTACTACTGAGCCTCAACCGCAACCCTTTATATACACTCTTATTCTTCTACTTTATTCGATCCCTAGCTACATAGGAACATTTATTTCCCCCATAGAAACCTAAGCATATTTTTACAGAATTCTAGGAAAAAACTTTTTAAAACTTAATTTAGGGTAAACTGACATATTTAATGCCCTTCAATTACATTTTCCTTTCTTGTTGTGTTTGTTCCTAATTTTATTAGTTTTGATAGTCAAAATTGACAAATTTCCCCCTATTTCAACTCTCGGGATTGCTCTCATTAAGTCCTACAGATGGTTGTACAAAACATTTTGCTATTCATTGCTTTGTAAAATACTTGTCTTTGTCCTAATATTACTTAGAAATACATTTCTTAATTTCCAAGTAGTTAAGATTTGGGGATTTTATTATTTTTTAGAATTGTATTGAATTAACATCAGTGAATTGATTCCTATCAAAGATCTACTCTTAATTTGTAAAGGTAATCTTTGTGGTCAATTGACAAAGAATTTTTGTAAATGTTCTGTGAACATTTTGGAAAAAATAATGCACACATTCCAGGGTAATAAAAGTTATAAGCATATCTATTTTGTTTTTAATTTGTTCTTTTTAGATAAAAATAATAGTAGAGTATATTTTGACATACATACGTGCAGTATAATTTCCCATTCTTGTGGTTGTACATAATGTAGAGTTACATTGCTCTTATGCATATGTGAACATTGGAAAGTTATATCCAACTCATTCTACCATCTTTCCTATTGCCATTCTTCCTCCCTTCCCTTCATTCCCCTTTGTCTAATCCAATGAATTTCTTTTCTTTACCTGCCCCCTTATCGTGTGTTAGCATCTGCATATTAGAGAGCATTCCACCTTTGTTTTTTTTTTTTTGGCATTGGCTTATTTCACATAGCATGATAGTCTCAAGTACCATCCATTTACCAGCAAATGCCATAATTTCATTGTTCTTTATGGCTGAATATTATTCCCTTGTGTATAGGCACTACATTTTCTTTATCCATTCATCTGTCGAAGGGCACCTAGGTTGGTTCCATAGCTCAGTGAATTGAGCTGCTATAAACATTGATGTGGCTATGTCACTATGATATGCTGATTTTAAATCCTGCGGTATACCAAGGAGTGGGATAACTGGGTGAGTGAGTGAGTTCCATTTGTGAGTTGGTGGTTCCATTCCAAGTTTTCTGAGGAATCTCCATACTGCTTTGCAGAGTGGTGGCACCAATTTGCAGTTCCACCAGTGATGTATGAGTGAGCCTTTTCCCCCACATCCTTGCCACCAAATATTGTTACTTGTGTTCTTGAAACTTGCCATTCTGACTAGAGTTGAGATAGAATCTCAGAGCGGTTTTAATTTGCAGTTCTCTAATTGCTAGTGATTTGRAACATTTTTTCGTAYATTTGTTGACCAGTCATATTTCTTCTTCTGTGAAGTGCCTGTGCAGTTCCTTTGCCCATTTATTGATTGGGTTATTCGCGGTTGGTTGGTTGGTTTTCTGGTGCTAAGTTTTTTGAGTTCTTTATATATCCTGGAGATTAATGCTCTATCTGAGGTGCAGGTGGCAAAGATTTTCTCCCATTCTGTACGCTCTCTCTTCACCTTCTTGATTGTTTCCTTTGCTGGAAGAAACTTTTTAGTTTGATACCATCCCATTTATTGATTCTTGATTTTACTTCTTGTGCTTTAGGAGTCTTGTTGAGGAATTTGGTTCTTATGCCAACATGATGGAGAATTCGGCCTACTTTTTCTTCCAGTAGGTGCAGGGTCTCTGGTCTAATGGTCCTTGATCCACTTTCAGTTGAATTTTGCATGGGGTGAGAGATAGGAGTTTAATTTCATTTTGATACATATGGGTTTCCRGTTTTCCCAGCACCATTTGTTGAAGAGGCTATCTTTTCTCAAACGTTTGTTTATGGCCCCTTGTGTAGTATGAAATCACTGTATGTGGGTTGTCTCTGTGTCTTCTCTTCTGTACCACTGGGCTTCATGTCTGTTTGGGTGCCAATACCATGCTCTTTTTGTAACTACAGCTCTGTAGCATAATTTAAGTTCTGGTATTGTGGTGCCTCCTGCTTCACTTTTCTTGCTATCCTGGGCCTCTTATTTTTCAAAATGAATTTCATGACTGATTTTTCTATTTCTATGAATACCATCATTGGAATTTTGATAGGAATTGCATTATATCTGTACAGAGCTTTTGGTAGTATGGCCATTTTGACAAAATTAATTCTGCCTATCCAAGAATATGGGAGATATTTTCAACTTTTAAGGTGTTCTTCAGTTCCTTTGTTTAGTTTTCTGTAGTTTTCATTGTAGAGGTCAATTTAACAAGGGAGGTAAGCATATGTTGATAGTTTGCTAATTTATTGTTAAGGTCTACTATTCCAAAATTTGTGTCTTCTACAATTATATAATATTCTTCCTTATCCTTTTGGAGCTTTTAATATTGAATTTTACCTTGCATGTTAATATTGTCCCTCCTGCTAATATTTGTTCATTTCATTATTTACAACTTTGAGCTTCCCATTTTTTTTGCTGTTGTTTGCAATTTGTCTAGTAATTGAAGAATTCAATCCATTTACATTTAATGTGATTACCAATGTACAACTGATTTTTATTATTTTCTCTTACTTCATGTTTAGCATTTATCTCACATTTTTTTCCTCCTTTTCCTTTATTTTTACTGGTTTGGTTATGTTGCTAATCCTTCCATTTTCTTATGTTAGTTTAAAATTGTAAAAAATTCTCCATTTTCTTCATGGTTACCTTCTATTTTTCCATTTTCATAATGTTGACCTCCCCTTCTTCTACTTAGATCCATTACTTGAACATATTTAAACAATATAGTTCAAACTATTATTTAAATGAATTATCAACTATACTTCTAACAAGAGGTAACATTTCCCCAATAATTTTTTTTCCTAGTCTTACCCACAATTCAGTGAAAGACTTTCAGAACACTTTCATTTTCCCTCTTTTCACTCCCCACCAACAGACCTGTGAAAAATGTTGGCCTCATCCTTTCTTCCTCTCTCTGAACTCTTGGCTTTTTATGAAAAGAGTATTATTTGTGGAATAGTCAAAATTTCCTTTTAAGAATTTGTTATTCTGAGTTCCTACATTTAGTTCCATGATGTAAGTTAGCCTTTGTATACTTTGTTAGGAACCAGTCAATTTTTTTTTTTATGTACGTAGATATCCAGTTTTTCTAGCACCATTTGTTGAAATGATTATTTTCCCCCCATTAAATTAATTTGAAGCCCTTGTCAAAATCAATTGACCCTAAATGTGAAGGCTTTTTCTGGTTTCTCAATTTCAATTTATTCCAAATGGTTATTCCTTTATGATCAATATGTCTATCCTCTTGTCAGTACCATTCTGTCTTGATTCTTGTAGGAGCTGAAATCACTAAGCATGAATCCTCTGACTTTGTTCTTTGTCAAGACTGTTTTACCTATTTTGAGTTCTGAATATCCTAGAAAATGGGTCATTTTATGCCAGAATTGGAAARTTTCATGTGAATGATAAAATCAATTTGCTCATTACTACCAAAAGCAGGTGGAATCCATAGATCAAGTTGAGGAGTACTACCACCTTAACAATATAAGTATTCCAATCAATAAAAACAGGATACCTATTTTAATCTAGTCCTTCTTTTTTTGAACAATATTTTGTAATTTTCAATGTAGAAGTCTTAGAGGTGTTTGGTAAAATTCATTTCAAAATATTTTGTTCTTTTTGATGCTACTGCAAACTGCACTGTTTTCTTAATTTCATATTTGGAGGGTTCATTGCCAATTTATCAGAATCTGCTTGATTTTTATATATTTCTATGATCAAAACTCACTGAGTTTCCCATATCTCAGCTACTTGGGAAACTGAGGCAGGAGGATCATGAGTTTGAGGCCACCATGGGCAACTTGAGACCCTATTTCTAAATAAAATATCAAAAGGGCTAGGAAGGTAACTCAGTAGTAAAGCATTCCTGGGTTCAATTGCCAGTTTCAAACAAAAACAGAAACAAAACAAAATTGCTAAGCTTGTCTATTAGCTTTAACAGTTTTTAGTAGGTTTCTTAAGAATGTTCTATATATAAGACTATGTAATCTATAAATAGAGATAATTTTACTTCTTCCTTTCCAGTATATATGTCCTTTGTTCTTTTTATGCCTAAGTACCCTTGCTAAAGCCTCCTACACAATATTATATATAAGTGGCACAAGTGGACATCCTTGTCTTATTCTGGATCTCAGGAAATAAAGTACCCAGTGTTTCACCACTAAGTATGATGTTGTTTGTTGGGTCTTCACAGATGGCTGTCTTAGAATTTTTAAATTTCTTATATTTGGTACTAGGGATTGAACTCAGGGGTACTTTATCATTGAGCTATATTGCCTAGCCTTTAATTTTTTTATTTTATTATTAATATTTTTTTTTAAATTTTGAGGCAGGATCTTCCTAAGTTGCTCTGGCTGGGCTTGACCTTGTGATCCTCCTGCCTCAGCATCCTTAGTAGCTGGAATTAAAGACATGCACCATTGCACCTGGCCAATATCAACTTTAAAAAAAATAGTGGACTTTTTAAAAGATACACAAAATTGGAGCTTATAAATGAAGATTAAGAGGAATGATTTCAAATAAAGAAAAAGAGCACATCAGATCAAATTCTGGTATTAGCAAAACTGAATAGTAGTCTTATTAGTCTAAGTTTCTAGGTATTCAAAGCATGGTATTAACTATCATTTATTCAGTGACACACATGTATGAAATGCTTTTAGAATATTATGTTGAACTCTCAAAAGAACTTACATGTTAAGAAGCACAACTTCCTCTTAGAAATAAGAAAACTGACTCTACAGGTCACATACAGAGAAATATGTGGGGTTGATTGGAATCCATGTCTATTTTACTCCAAGTCTGTATTCTTTAAGCAGTCAATAAAAGGAAACTTTAAATTCACTTGACAACAGTTTTCCAGAATTAAATTTTATAAAAGTTTTGTAGTGTTAAATATGGGATACTGTGTAATATATTTAATTAGAAWCATTTTTTTTCAAGGCTATTTCACATCATTTGTTGACAGAAAATGAAAATAACTGGTTCTTTTTCAAAATTGTTAACCTTAGTTTTTGGAAATATTCATTAGCTAGTATTTTGTCAGTTTCTTATTTTTTAATTTATCTATTAGAAATGGACACAATTGTATAATGACTATAATCAAACTATTTCTAAAATAGTTTGCTATTTCTAAAAATGGATTCTTTCACAAAATACTTATAAATAACATAAATTATTTCTTAAGATATTTCTAAATAAGTTTTATTTCTAAATAAAGCCTATGAATTTATTTTTATTCAGTAATAAGTACTTATCTATTTTCAACTTAGTAATATTTGATTTTGCAACATTAATATTTTACTAAATATTCTAAAATGGGAAATGATTTCAAAAGATTAGAGAAAGAAAATTTTCTACTTTGTATTACCTTTTTTTAGTGGGGTGGAGGGAAGGTACTGAGAATTTAACCCGGGGTGCTTAACCACTAAGTCACATCTCCAGCCCTTTTTAAAATATTTTATTTTGAGATAGGGTCTCACTAAGTTGCTTAGGGCCTCACTAAATTGCTGATGCTGATCCTCCTGTATCATCATCTCCAGCCACTGAGAATACAGGTGTGCAACATTGTACCCAGCTGTTATTATGCCTTTTGTTAGAAATAGACCAGAACGAGGTGACTTTATATTATAAAACATCAGATACATTTTATTACAAATAAATAAAACCTGTACATGTCAATTTCAAAACTAAACACACAGAAATACAAAATTTTTCTGGCTCTCTAAGCCACCACAGAAAAAATCACTCTTGCAAAAACCAATTATATTGAATCAATACAATTTTCTTTGTGTCATGATTTTCTGATATAAAACAGTACACAAATTATTAAAAGGAAACAAACTCTGATGAAGTCATCTAAATAGAAAGTCACAATATTAAACTGCCAACAACTAAATATTTGGATAATTTCCAAACTATTATTTTTAATAGTGTGTGTGTGTGTGTATATATATATATATATATATATATATATATATATATATCTCCATCCTAATATGAAGGGGATATTGATATTAACTTTGAAAAAATGTGTCATTCAACAGACATGTGTCACAGCTACTGTTTTTATCTTAGTGTTTTGTTTTGGTTACCTTCTAGAAGATCATCTTCATCTATGCCTTTGACGATCTTTGATTTGTAGTCTCGAATAAACATATATTTTAGTAGTCTTCTAAGCTTTTTCTATTAAAAACATGAAATAAGTAAATAATAAAACTTACATACATATTCATTTTATTTAATAAGGACTACTATGATTAATAAAATTTAATAAACCAGCAACCCAGAATCACTGGAGAAAATACAGCAATCTATAGAACAATTCTATAAAATAAATATGTAGTCATTAAATGAAATATAAATGCTAAAATAAAAGTAGTTTTAAAATTACCTATCTTATGCAAGTATCCAGAATCACAATAATTATTTTTTTGTGTGTCTTATAAAAAGTTTTAAAATTCTTTTTGAAGATTGTAATAAATACCACATTTGCATACTAAGGTTAAGTATCCTTATGCTGTAGAATTTTTATACACAAATTTTCATTTTTAAAAAGTGACTCATAAACATCTAGATAATGGATTTATAACAATTGTTTTAAAAAATATATGTATCCTTTACATCTATTTTTTTCTATCATCTGAGATCTTTTCACCAGAAGAATTGGTTTGTGTATGATATTTTGGTGAAACTATACTGTAACCTGAGAAACTATTTTTAAAAAACTTAAAGATCATGAATGATAGTTAGATATTAATGATGGCCTTCTTCAGATTTATTAGAAAACTACAATACCACTTAACTTTAAAAGTGACTGGTAATACGTAGTAGTAATCTGTTTTGTATTTACACTTAGAAGACATTGTGACTGATTTCCGACCTTCAGGTTTAAGATTTCTTTTCTTCTTCTTTTTCTTTCTTTCTTTCTTTCCTTTTGTTTTGTGGTGCTAAGGATAGAACCTGGGGCCTTGGGCTAGGCAAGTTGATCCACCACTGAGCTATATCATCAGTCCTTTTCTATTTTTGAGACAAGGTCTTGCTATAAAATACCCAGGCAGGCCTTGAACATTCAGTCTTCCCTCTTGCCTTGAGGCTCCCAAGTAGGTGGGACTACAGGCAAGTGCCAGCATGCCTGGCTCCCTTGTCCAAAATTTCTAATAATAACTGAAATGTACCACATTTTGCAAAGCTCTTCACAAGCATTTCAATAGCCCTCAGACACAGACAAATATAATTATCATTTTATATACAGGAAAACAGAGGTAAAGATTGGTCTTACAACCAAAGTTCAGCATAGCCAGAAGTAGAACATAACTTTTAAATCTCAGTTTATTCATTTCGAAAGTAAGAAAAGTACCTCCCTATCATGCCTATTGTGAAGAATTCATGAAACAAGGTAAAGCTGCTTAGTCAATATAGCAGTCAATAACTACTGCTTGAATGTAAACTATAAATTATTATTATTATTAATTTTGGTACCAGAGATTGAACTCAGGGCACTTGACCACTAAGCCACATCCCCAGCCCTTTTTTGTATTTTATTTAGAGACAGGGTCTAACAGACTTGCTTAGCGCCTCACATTTGCTAAGGCTGGCTTTGAACCTGTGATCCTCCTGTCTAAGTCTCCGGAGTTGCTGGGATACAGGTGTGCGCCACTGCACCTGGCAAAACTAGAAATTATTAAGAGGAAAAAATCCACCTGCCCATGGATGGCTACCCTTCTTTTCTCTTTGTTCTGATTCCACTTGGTATTTTCATTTTGTTTTATCTGATAGTTCACCTATCTACTTTAAATTCTTGAAACATGTCAGTGTATAAATAAAATTATTATACTGAAGAGAAAGATGAGAAAACTGGCAACTGTCACCTATGTCTTTTATTGGTAAAAAGATTCCTTTTGAACTGTAGAAAGTAGTATCAAATGGTATATATTTCTGAAGCTTAAATATGATTTAAAATTTGATTTCCACAAAAGGGCAAGAAAAAAATGTTGGAGTGGAATGTAGAATGTACTGATCTTTTGTTATTTCCACCAGTGAAACAAAAACCTGACAAAATGTTCTACAAGGAACTAATGCTAACTCTGTAGTTTCCCAGCTATTTTTATAAAGAATCTCTGCTCTAGGGTCTCCTTGCTGCCAATTGCAGTCAAGGCTTCTTCCTCACAGCACCACTGCTATGTAGTACTTGATGTGAATTTCTCCTTAAAAATCTCCCAAGTTTTAAAAAAGAGTGAACAAATCTTGCAAATGCTTACTTTTATCTGAGTTCTTCCTTCTCATTTCCAGTCACCATACTAATCATATTTTACCTTGATTACTGAACCAACATCCTGGGTTATTTGGTCCTGTCTGCAGGACTGCGAAAGCTTCACCTTAGAAATCCCAACTTCAACAAATCCTTCAGACTCTCCATCTAAATCACATAACTCTGAAATTCTGGTAAGCCTCAAAGTGGTTCTTCAAATCATAAAGATTTCTTAAACCAGATCATAATCTCTTGAGAGTGAAGTCATTATTTTTTTCCCTTTATATTTTTTATTAACTGAGAGATGATTAACTAAAACATATTAAATATTATAAATTATTTTCAAATAGCTACACTCGGAAAATAAATTATAAAATTAGACAAAGAGCAGTGTGAATATTTTAATACCAAGAGTTTAAACAGAAAAAGGAGATGTTTATAAAAAATAGAAATTGTGCTGGGTGTGGTGGCACATGCCTGTGATCCCAGTGACTTGGGAGGCTGAAGCAGGACAATCACAAGTGTGAGGCCAGCCTCAGCAACTTAGTTAGCAAGGCCCTAAGCAACACAGTGAAACCCTGTCTCAAAATAAAAAGTAAAAAGAGCTAGGGATATGGCTATGTGGGTTCATCTCTGGGTTCAATCCCCAGTACTTAAAACAAAAAGCAAAAAGAAAAGAAAATACATACACAGACATGTAAGGATAAGTGAGGATTAGTTGTGAGCACATTTTGACACAAGTGTCTTTACATATGTGCCTTTCTCCCTGTATATCTTTTCTGGTGTGTAAACTATAGACTAAAACATTAGTTTGATAGTTATGATTCAAAATGAAAAGCTATATAATAAGGACACAGTTTCCTTATGAGTTCAATTAAATACTAGGACTAGAATTTTAACACAATGAAATTGTTTTATGTTACCTTATCTTTGCGCATTAAAAACAGAAGATCTTCAGGAGAGATTACTCTTGCTCCCCGCAGCTGAGAAACTTCAGCAGCTTGCTGTAACTATTAATAAAGGAAATTTAGGAATTTTTCTCAGTAATATAAATTAAACACAGTATAATTATGATGTCTCAAGAGAGATAAATATACTAAGAACTAAAAACCTTTGGGAGTAATTCAGCAATCACATTATTGCTTTTAAAAGCAAAATACCCTATGTTTTAAGATATAAAAAAATGCCATTAAATTATGAGCCCACCTGTAACTGATATAATAAACAGAAATCCTTGATTTCTTTCATGCAATAGAAAAAATCATACACAGCTTCCAGAAATGCATTAATGCACCTGAAAATAATTTTATGAAATTTTATCCTTCATACCCATGTGAGCAATGGTTTCACTCAGTATCACTAGCTGAATAAGTATATTATTAATCTGAGCTCCCATGCTGGTATGATTTGAAATAGCCCCATTCAGAACTTTAAAAGATCAACAAAAACAGTAGCTGTTTCTAATATCCAAAGGGAAAAAAAAATACTTTTAGTTTTGGCAAATCTTCAGTGAGGAAAGGATTCAGTCCATAAATCATAATACTGGACTACATTAATTTCTTTCCACCCTAATCACATGCACACAAAAAGTTAACTGTATCTGGAATGCACAACAACACGAAACATACTGCATGAAAAGTTAGATTCCCCTTGAAATGCTCATCTGGGCCTTTATATCTACAAAGTCAAGTTTGCAGGAATTCTGAAGCCCTAGAAACACAATCTTACTTGAAACTGACCTGGAAAATAAAAGAATGTGAAAAATGATAGTTCTACTTTTTGGCAAAGACAAACTCAGTTTCTTATTTTGATTAGTTAGAAAGAACATAAAATACATCCATCTGAAAAAAATAAAGATGCTGGAGAAAACACTACAAAAATGAGCCTGTAACTTCTTCCAAATATGATCAAGCCATGCTGATTACACTGAAGCAACTTTATCCAATATGAAATATTATAAACATTTTAACATATCAAAGCTGTTCTTGAATGCATTCTTCTTTAAAAGAAATAAATCTAATACATATTCCTAAACTAATCTTTTAAAAGTGGCACTGTTATCTTAACAATTATATCAAATTAAACAGTGCATTTGTGCTGAGGAAATTTAGCTTCAATGTTAACACAATTTTACTAAATAAGCTTCAAACCTTCTGTAAATATACAGACTACAAAACAGACTATAAACTCCTTATTGTCAGATTTACCACTGAATTTCCTGGATACTGGTGGTTGGTATATAAACATAATCCTACCTAAATATAGAAATTTAAATTTAACCATTTAAAAAGAAATCTTGGGGAAAAGGTTTTTTAGAAGATGATGTATCTATCCAAAAATAAACTCAACAGTTTTAAGAATGTATGAACATACTTTTTCTAAAAACTGGAAGTGTCAGGAAAATATGTATACATATCCTTTTTCAAATACAAACATTTCTATCAGCTAAAATACATGCAGTCAGTGTGTCGAACAACATGAGTTTGCATATCCATTTGGCTGCACACACAGAGAGAACCAGAGACAGTATTGTACATTAAGTAACTTTTTTGTGTTCTTAAATGTATAGTGATTTGAAAACTGAAAATCAATACGTAGATATACGTAAGTTCACTCATGCTAAGAAAGGATCAGGAGAAATATGTATCCCCCAATTACTAAATGGTTTGCCCATACTACATATAAATAATCTCTATCACACTGTTTAAAATGTCAGTTTATAAAAATGTGTTAAACAGTACAACCAGAAAGATAGTGAAAATAAAAAACAAAGACACAGCAGAGTTCAACATGATAAATCACCTTCTCCAAAGTTGTCATGTTTATCAGCCAAAATTTATCTACCTGATTTTCTAATTACTCTCAACTAATAAAATACTCTTACTCGGATTAGCACTGCAGCACTCCCTAGAACACCCAGGGCTCTGCRTAGTTAGTATGCCACTGTCACTGAAAGTTATCACTAGGTTATCTTACCAGGGCCTGTCCAATTCTGATGTGTCCCATGCTTCAAAATTACTCTCCCATGAAGTAATTTGACCTTTTCTTCTCTACCAAAGGAGGGGATCAAATGGATCAGGTAAATAAAGTATCTACACCAACAAATGTATTATCATTGGGATACTTCTAAAAATTTCCATGTACACCTAGCAGCAAGAGCAAATCAAATATAACAGCACTATCTTACAAAACAGATTGACAAACCTTAGGGGACCTTTAAACTATTGGATTCTAAATTGCAATGCCTACAAATTGTTATTCATCTTAACTGTTAACATGATCTCCCTCAAATATGGTGTTGGATTATATTATTAATGAGTATATAAGCTAGGCATTAAGATATTTATTAAGCATAATATCCTAAGTTTTTAAAGTGAATACTTTTTTTGGTTGTTAATGAACATTTATTTATATGAGGTGCTGAGGATCAAGCCCAGTACCTCACACATATGAGGCAAGCACTCTACCACTTGAGTAAACTCCAGCCCCATAATATCCTAATTTAACTGCTACGATGACTTTACTCAAATATCATCTTCAATTCTTATTTGGAGATCAAAGTAATTCACTATTATCTAACATAAGAATGGTCTTTACCCTGAATGACTCATATTTTCCCTCTATATCTTCATTCCATTCCATTTTTTGTTTTCCTCTCATATAATTCCACATTTAAGCTCCAATAATTTTTGTCTATGTATTTATGATGGTTAATTTTATGTGTCACCTTGACTGGGCCACAGGGTGTCTAGACATTTGGTCAAACATTATTCTGGGTGTGTTTATGGGCATGCTTCTGGATGAGATTAACGTGAATCAGCAAATAGACCATGTAAAGCAGACTGCCTGGTTTTAGCTCACTTTCTGATGCTGTAATACCACAGGCGAGGTAGTTTATAAACAATAGAAGTTTATTTGGCTCAGAGTTCTGGAGGTGGTGAAATCCAAAAGCATGGTGCTAGAATTTGGTGAGGGCATTCATTCTGCATTATAACATGACGGAAAGAAAAGTGAGTATGTACAAGACATAGAAAGGGTGGGGGCCAAACTTATCCTTAATCTAGGAGCCCAMTCGCAGTATAACTAGTCTACTCCTGCTATAACTAATCTAATCCCACGATAAGAGAATTGATCCATGAATGAGAGCAGAGTCCTCATGGCCTAGTCACCCCTATAGGCCCCACTTCTTAATATTGTTACAGTGGTAATTTTAAACATGAGCTTTGGAGGGGACATTCAAACCACAGCATCGTTCCTAAGTGGACAGACCTCATCCAGACAGTCAAGCATCTGAATAAGCTTAACAGAGTAGAAAAGGCTGCACAGGAGGAAATAGTTTCTGCCTCACTGAGCTGGGAGCTGTGTGCATTCACCTGAAAGAAACATCACCTCTTCTTGTGTCTGGAGGCTGCCAACTTTCAGACTACGTATCTACAAGTTGGCTCTTCTGGGACTTGGCCTCCTAATATGATAGTATATTAGAATATATATAGTAGAATCCTAATATGGTAGTATATTCAAATTATGAAAATTCTTGATTCTTCTTAAAAGATGCAGCATGTTCTTATTAAAATATAGGCTTCAAAATAATGTTCTCAAAGAAATTAGAGCTATGGTTATCTTCATATAACAATGTTTATCACATACCCTAACCATAAAATGTAAATGCTCAGTGCACAATTTTTTAATTGTACTTGTTACCAAGTTTCTTTTTTATCTACCTCAACCAGTTTCCTAACACTCCCATCTCCCAATTCCCTTTCAAGTAAAACTTCTAGGTCTAGGATAACAAATCCCCAAAAGGCAGTTTATAATTATTTGCTAAGTGTCAGCGACCTATTTTCCCCTCCAAGATTTTCAGTTTTCTATCTATAATATAAGGAAGAGCTACATGAAGTCCATACACTTATATTGAAGCTGGGGCCCACATAAATTCAGCAGACAGATTTCTCTAGAATTTCATATGGTTTTAAATGTACAACAATTAAGCTGAAAATTCCCCAATTATTAAGACATTGAAAATAGTACATCTCAACAATGCTTCTGTTGTATATCTCTTTTCTTTATGTTTTCCCCAAATCCTAGGTCTTTTCCTTTGTGAAGATAAATAGTGAAAGACAGGCGTTGTTTCATTATAATGAAAAGGTAGGATCTTAGGTTAAGTTATTGCCAGATCTAAATTATTTGTCTTTCTAGCCATCTGTCCATCTATCAAGCATAAACTATCTAACCAGGGTAGATGCCAGCCTGGGCTATGAAAGGACAGTCCTGCTTACAACCATATTTACCAGCCACAAATAACCTCAAAAGTCCTCTCTGAATTTTCCACAATGTGACTCAAGAAGTTGGAGTTAAATATATATATATATATTACAACTCTGGTTTTACTATCAAGTAACTGCATACATTTAGATACAGTGAGTAACTTCTCTGGATTTGTAGGTTTATGATTCTCTTTCATTTAAAACAGGTACTTTGGGACTTGAATGACTCTTAGAATTAATAATCTTGGTATAATAATAGCTAGTATAGTATATATTGAGTACCTATTTTTCATTTTTAAAATTCTAACTTGTTATATATGACAGCAGAATGCATTACAATTCATATTACACATATACAGCACAATTTTTCATATCTCTGGTTGTATACAAAGTACATTCATACCATTTGTGTTCATASATGTACTTAGGGTAATGATGTCCATCTCATTCCACCATCTTTTCTACACCCATGYCCCCTTCCTTCCCCTCCCACCCCTTTGTCAAGTACCTAAGTTGTACTAGGCTCTATGCTATGTGTATTATAAGTATTAAGCTTCCAATTTTAAAAAGTTAGTATCTAAAGTAACATGTATATAACAGTAAAAATCAAATAATACAATAAATGTTTTAAGGACAGAGAGGAGAACCTTGCCATATTTCTTTCCAATCCACAATCCTGCTTTCATCAGCAAACATTTTCAACTTTTTGAGCTTGTTTTTGTTGTCTGCATATCTGAAATAAACTT